AAACCTTCCAAAACTGCTTCTGAAAGTGGAAAGAATGGTAGGCAGAGTGTGTGAAGTAAAAGGCAATTTTTTTGGAGGAGGGGTATTAGTAGCAATGTGAATTTTACTGAAATATTTTTGTTTTATCTGAGTCACCATGTTTTTTATCAAAGTGTGTGTGTGTGTGTGTGTGTGTGTGTGTGTGTGTGTGTAGGCAGGTGCATGTTTCCTCTACTCTGTGGCTTGGTTTGTAGCATTGCTGCTTAAGGTCCTAAAAGCAGCTATTTTATTCAGATTATTTGATGTCATTTGTAGGTATACCATACTGATTGGTAAATTACTAAATCTGAGCATCATTGTAGTGACTTAACTATACGGCAAATTGGGGAATTCCAGATTATCTAAGAAAAATACTCATTGTTTTCATTCATTTGAAATGAAAAGATTTCTTGAAGGAGGTAGAAAAAAGGTGGAAGTACTTCTCCATATGGAGATCGTGTCTGAGGCAGGTCCTGCCATGGGAGCCTATCACGTACGCCAGTGAAGGAAATGTTTTCTGTTGCTTATCAAAAAGTCATTTCTGAAACTAAAAGATGCTCAGACTGCTGACCATGTACACAAGGACTTTCATTTCTTTCACATATTCCTAGTTCTCAAATATAGGTTCTTTGCCATATCTAATGCTTTATTCAGAAATCTTCAGGACATCCATGGGAAATTTAGAGTAAGCTATGGAAAATCATCAGCAGTCCACCTAAGTGTTAAGCAAAAGTCCATTCCAAATTTTATGACTTAAATAATGAGAAAATCATTACTTATACACTATTATCATCTACAGATAGATGATAGATTTGAGAGTTAAAAATAGAGATTAATAAAACTAAATGAAATATGAGACAATTCAAATTATTTAGCTACCATTTTTAGGAAGGAAATTTGTTTTTCTGTTGATTTTTTACTTTTTTCCTCAAGTTTTTGAAGCAATGTTGAAATTGGAGTAAGGGTACCAATACTGCATTGCAACTTCTGTATCTGTCTGCAAACTTCTGCAGCCTGAAAACCCTTTTAGACTTCTTTTTGAGGATCATCAGAATGATTGAAGAGAGGGTTGAAATGAGTGGAAAGAGACCATTTATGCCCATGCAACTTGGACCTCCAGTTAGCACCTAGCTAGGAACTTGGCCAATCTCCAGCAAGTCTGCAGCTATTTCTGTTAGGACAGCTACCAAAATTACACAAATTACTGATACAGTTTCAAAGGAGTGTCTAAGAATGACACAGGGAAAATTCCAAGTGGCAGTGAAAAACTTTGAGAGATTCACAAAAGCACCCACCTTGTCCATTCTACTTCCCCCACACACACAGACACACAGACACACAGACACACACACACACACACACACACACACACACCTTTTTAAGCAGCAGGCACATAGAGCTGGCTGGAGAGTTAGACTTTGAAAACAGTAGAGACTTCCAATAGTTCTAGTGTTTCAAGGTCAGTTTGGCCATGATGTGTTTTACATTCCAGAAAACACTGCTATCCCTTGTTCTAAACTGGCCAGCCTTAAAGACTGACAGTTGAGAAACTTAATGATATTATGACCCTATATCAGAGGCAGTTAAGCTTAACATCACTATCTGTCTGAATATCAAACACCTTAGACATAAAATGGAACTGCTATTTTCCAACAACCTTAGATACTCTAAAATTTAAGGGTATAGAATGTTAAAAAAAAAATTACATATTTTTTACACAGAAATTTAGGGCTTGCTGATTAGCTCAAATGTTTAACCGCCTCCATGGGCAAACCCAGCCAGGCATGGGGGACGGCAGTTCAATCCCCAGCTCTACATGCCACACCAGACCCGCCATAAGGCAGCCTGAGCCAGCCAAAGAAAAAACCTCCCCCACCCCTTCTACACAGAAATTTAGAGATCGAACCATATACAACATTGTAGCAGGACAATCTAATGACTTTTTTTCCTTGTCTCTTGTTTTCTTTTATTATCTTTTTTAAACCAACATTTACTTTACAGAGAGTATAGCAATAATTGATATGACATTAGAAGCAGTAAGCATTTACAAGACTAAAATGACAGGTATTTCAAACATGTTTTTAGTATTGCACATTACTGTCCTCAGTGTAGTTGCTTAGTTCATAGATAGAAGAAAGGTTTGTACTTATATTGTTAGACAAGATAACATGTCTACATCTTGTCCTCTGAATAACTACTATGAAGACAACAATATGCAATATGTTAATTATTGTAACTGTCCTACTAACCTATTTTGAAACTGTTTCATTGCTATTTTATCTTTTTTTTTCTCAGCAAAATGAAAAAAAAAAGATTGACAGTTGATAACACTGTTAGTGTTTTGTCAGGTTTTTCTTCAGATCTCACCTTCCTAATCCACTCCTTACAGGACAAAGAACAACATGGGTCAACCTGAACTCCCCTGCCTGCACCTGTAAGCCAAGGTTCTGAGGATTACAAGTAGAGAAGGATCTCACCTGGGTGATGCAATCATTACCAATTAAGAAAAAAAATCACTTGTCCATAGTTTGTTCCTCATCTACAACTGTGTTTTGATTAAGTTGAGATCTTTGATAGATTAGAAAGGTTCTAAAATAACTATCTCAAAAATTGTGATATCAAAGTGTCTCTCTGACTCTTCCTATCCACCATGAATCAAAATGAGGTGTTATGTGGGTTTAAAGGTTTATCTGGTAGAAACTCCCCATACTGACTAGAAGTGTAGAAATGACAGTTATAAGCAGCAGAAAAGGCCTTATCTTCCTTATCCACTTGGGTGAGAAAAGACAGAGCAGTAGAGTTTATGACAATCTGACCCTGCCTTCCTCTTTAGTAACTGCTGTTCCGCCACCTCTCCACCTTGGACCATTCGCCCACCATTTGTAGCAAGCAGACAATGCAGGTCTTTAAAGACCGAGTGGAAACCTTAAAATGCAAAAACATTTTTCAGCATGTGATTTTGAATCCCAGCATCAAATGAAAATTCTTATTGACTGACATTGGCTTCCTAACCCACACCGTTGGAAAAGTGGTCTTGGGTTGAGTCAGAGTTTCAGGAAGCAAATGGCAGGCTGAGCAAAATACACGTGCAGAAAGAAGTGACTGCTCGCATGTAGCATTGTTTTCCTTCTTACAACAGTTTTATCTTGCTCACTCCACCCATAAATTTCAAACATGCTTTTATCTATCCTTATAACTCTTCAAAGTGATTATATTATCCCCATTCTTCAAAAGATAAAATTATTTGTCTTTTTATTATTTCAAGTTTTAGCAGTTCCCAAAAGTTTTGATATACATCCCTATAAGGAAGAGATTCTTCAAAATTCCACTGAGCCATCTCCCTGGCCCCCACAATTAATGGTAAAGAGACCTTTGCAGGAAAGTTAAAGTATGAGCTAGTGATGTCCAGGAAAACAAGGCTCAAGCTGACCAGCACGTGCGGAAGAGAGAGGAGACACGTGCAGGGCTGCTTCCTCAGTGTTCTGCGGTGGCTCAGACCACGCTGGCCACAGGAGAGCTCTGCAGACGCTATGCTCACAAGCAGAGAGCAGGGTGAGGGGCTAGGAAGCTGCAGCGTAGCTCAGTAGCCATTTATTTTCACAAGCCATATAGATTTTTCGGTCCTCACACGCTAATCTTGTTGATGGGTGTTCAAGCTTGTTGCACCTCATCCTCTTAGACTAATCCGTAGCTCAAGATTCTCATTCCCTTTCTAGTCAGGAGGCTGGAAATACCTGAGCTACCAGGAGTGGCTCCAAGTTCCCTTGTGAAGAGCCCAAGACCTCCCACTAACTGTGCTGTGCTACTGCAGGAGCAGCGATAATGGCCATGAGGAGCAACAAAAAGGAATTGTCTGGTACAGAAAAGCAGGATTCTTTTTCAAGTGGACATGAAAGCACTTTAAGCTACTCAAGCTTTGCCATCAGGTAAGAGCCTCAGAGAAGCTTGAAAACACTGATTTTCTGCAAATCACTCTGCAATAAAAATTCTCACTTAGAGGTTAAGCTTAACAGCCTAAGTTGTATGATAATAACAATAAGCTTGTCTTCTGGATGACTAACAACCTAAGTTGGCAGATCAAAATTAGAGAAAAAAGAGGGCTGCAAGGAAAGCCAACATTTTGGCCCTAGCCTTCCAAAGTCAATTAAGTCTCAGGACATATGAGAACTTGT